GACTAATTCTGGTCAGCTAATCACTGGCTCCGCCCCCTGATTCGAGGAACTTTATTAACACAGTCTCGGGGTATCACAGTGTGATCAAATATCCCACAACAGGTGGGTTTTGAGACTTCAAAAGCCAAGCATCCTTTCCAGTGTGCTGTGGTTTCTTTCCTTCTTTGGAGTTCTGAGACTTGAGTTCTCAGCTGCGGCTGCTCACCACCTGCTACCTCTGCTCCTCCAACATGGACTATTATCCCTCTGCAGCTGGAACCAAATCAATTGTTTTCTATATGTTGTTTTGGTCATGGTGTTTTTTCACAGTAATAGAAAAGTAACTAAGCCAGGCAGTGATTAAAGGCTTTAAAAAAATTATGACGACTATAATTAAGTTCTGCTGTGTTGGCACCCAGCTCCACCATATCTTGTAGCTTGGAAAATTAACTAATTCTCCCATATCTTGATTTTATTGTATGTAAAATAGAGATAATACTATCTACAGTTTGGAGATAGGCTTAGCAAAATATTGATACAAAGCCCATAGGACGGTATCTGGCACACTAGAGCTTCCAGCAAAATACAATTATATGCACAATATCATGAAGAAATCCATTATTTTTGTATACTTACTAAAAATAACAATTATAAAATAAAAAGAATTACTAAAGCCTACCTTTAATTTTGCCTCAGGTAGGGAGTTATTGTTCTGAGGGTTTTTTTTTTTTATGTGTTTGTTGAGACAGGGTCACTATGTAGCCCTGATTGATCTAGAACTCAGTATGTAGACAAGGCTGTCCCCCAAATCACAGAGAGCCACCTGCCTCTGCCGCCTGAGTGCAGGGACTAAAGTCATGTTCCACCATACCTGACCCCAAGTTACTGATTTTTTTTCTAAAGACTTGAACTAGAGTGATAGGAAGATAAAAGAACTTTAACCCATCCATACCCTTGGATAAGCCAAAGTGAAAAGATTCTGCCATGGAAATAATTTAAAACCTGGTAAACCAATCTGAGCATTTGTTCTTCATCTGCTAGGCAACAATAACCCTAGACATCAGCAAGTCTTTGCACATAGGTTTCACAACTGGGAAAAATTATTGGCACTCTATGTGTCTTTCTAGTCTGCTTCCATAATTTCCCTCTGGGTTGCTTGGGTTCTTCTGCCAGAGACTAAGAACTGCACACAGACACAGGTGCACACTTGTGGTTCTCTTCACTTGGGCAGTGTTGTACAAATGGTAGGTTTCCAGTCTACAGACTGGCCTGTCTTGCTCAGCACCCACCAGGCCCGTGACCCTGAAGTACAGTCACACAGCAAAAGCCCAGCACCTCGAATTTTGTTTTCACCTAAGTGGTCCACTCTGGCTGTGTGTTCGACGCCCACAAAATCTCCAACCTCAACAAATGCCCTTTAACTCTAATAATCACAATATGTTTTCAAATACCACAGTGGGTAGATGTCTTTTGAAATCCTGTCTACTCACTATTTGAACAATCTTATCATTCTGAAGAAGGAAAAAGAAAGCGCACTAGACTAAGTTCAATGAGTCAGTGTGTCGTAATTTAAAGGTCATGGACTTTGGAGCCACACAAACGTGATGCTAAATTTCTACAGTGCCTGTCACCATCTATGTCATACGAGACATTTACTCTTCTCAGTTTAGGGTTCCTCCCCTTTAAAGTGGGGCCAAAAGCTCCTTTAAATAAATTACATCAAATTATAAGTTGTTTAAAATGTAATTTATCTGATGTGGAAAATCAAACGAAATATCAAGTTCTTGATAAATGTGGGTGCTTAATTAATGTTAGCCCTCTTTCAACTAAAAATATTTATAAATATACTGCTACTCAAAAGCTTAGTCACTGTGGAGATTGGGGACAAATTCACTACTGAAGACACTCCTCTTAGGGCTCTTTCAATCTAACCGAATCACTAAATAAAATAAAATAAAATAAAAATCAACCCGGTAAGTCAGACACACGACACACTAGTCCAATCAGTGAAAATCATCTGAAAGAAATTACACCCGGAGGCTGGAGCGATGGTTCAGCAGTTTAGAGCACTGTCTGTTCTTCCAGAGGACCCAGGTTCAATCCCCAGCACCCATATGGCAGCTCACAACTGTCTGTGACTCCAGTTCCAGGGCTTCTGACACACTCACACAGACATACATGCAGGCAAATAGATAAATAAAAATAAATAAATAAATAAATAAATAACTTTTGAACACAAAATAAAAGTAAATTTAAAAAAAGTACACCTGGCCGGGTGGTGGTGGCGCACGCCTTTAATCCCAGCACTCGGGAGGCAGAGGCAGGCAGATCTCTGTGAGTTCCAGGAGAGCCAGGGCTACTACACAGAGAAAACAAAACAAACAAAACCAAAAAACCTACACATACAAAACAAACAAAAACAAAAAAAACTCCACAGAGTAGAACAGAGATCATCATGTAAAGGGGAGCACACCAGACTCAGAAGGACAAATGTCCCATGGTTTTTCACATACATGAATCTATAGTTTAGAATCAAAATCTCTCCATAGGTAGATTAGATACATATATAGATAGATGTGTTTGCGTGTGTACATTTGAGTGTGTGTGTGTGTGTGTGTGTGTGTGTAAGGATTAGAAGGGTTTGTTCTGAAGGGGAGGGAAGAAGAAGAAGACAATTGTATACCCTCCTGCAGAACATGAAAGCAGAGGGGATAGTTTGCAGGGAAGAAAGGGTTGGGGGAGGGGGCAAGGGAAGGAGATGGTGAATGGAAGGAGCAAATACAATGATATACGTGTATGAAAAGGTCATGAAGAAACCCACTACTTAGTACGCTGGCATTAAAAGAAATCATACTTGCAATGATGGGGAGCTGAACGTAGGGGACTGCACAAAAGGGAAAAGAAAGAGCTTTCCTGTGTGGGGCCTATTCTAACTGAAGAGATACCTCTTTACACTGATACGGTTTTCTTGTTAGAGCTTTCCTGTGTGGGGCCTATTCTAACTGAAGAGATACCTGTTTACACTGATAGAGTTTTCTTGTTAGAGCTTTCCTGTGTGGGGCCTATTCTAACTGAAGAAGATACCTCTTTACACTGATACAGTTTTCTCATTAGAGCTTCAAAAACAATACCGTGTTCAGCTTTTAGAAGATAGTTTCTGTCCATGTTTACATCTATCCTAAATTCAACGAATAGATACTAAGAGTTCAAATCTTTATTAAAATAGGTCACACCTCAGTTCTGCAAGCAGTATACTTAAAATCTTGCTAAAGCTCCATTTTCTACCCTCTTTTATTCACTTTTTATTTTATTTTATTTTTTTAAAAATTAGTTTATGTCCTACTTGAAACTTTCCACGTAGCTTCATTTTCTACTATTGAGGTCATCTTTGCTCTGATACCTGATGTGTAATCTTCACTCTTTTTCTGAATCACATTTTTTATATTACACTATTTTTTAATCAAGGATAGACGTTTTTAAAGCATGAAGTTGTGTTACTGTCGGTGATTACAGTAGAACTACTTCTAGAATGTTAGTTTGATCTGAAATAAGGCCCACTTTAAAAAAAGAAACTTTCAGATCAGATACCTGCAAGACACTTGCAGATTTTGTTTTTGTTTTTCCAGACAGGATTTCTCTGTGTAGCCCTGACTGTCTTGGAACTCACTCTGTACATCAGGCTGGCCTCTACCTCTGAGACCGGCCTGCCTATGCTTCTGCCTCACTATGCCTGAGACAGTCTTTGTTTTTTTTTTTTAATTTCACCCATAGGTTGAAGCCTGTCATCTACATGACTGACGACACAGGGTTTTTTGTGTTTTTAGGAAGAAAGCAATCCAATGCCATCTGTTGTACACATAACCATGTAGCTCAATAAGAAAACACCAAGTATTTTTCTCATTTCCATTAATGACTTTAAAATTACAAAGTGCAATTTCAGAAAAGATTGAAATTGGGATAAGAATGAAAATACACGAACAGGAATTACTAAATTAGAGCCTGAGTCAAGAGTTTCCCAACTAAACTCTGGCTGTCACTTGCAGTGGACTCCGAGTGCTTTCTCAAACTGAGCTCAGTGGAAACTAGCTGAAACCAAGGAACCTCCTCAAGCCAACTCCCAAATTCATTCCCTTCCACGAGGACAGATCAAAGCCCACACGATCTGTAGTTGAAGTGGACAAAGTTCTCATTCGACACACATTCCTTTTCTTTGATAGCTTATAGGAACTTTATTTTCCTTCCACCTTTTTTTCCTTTTGCTTAGTTGTCTGCAGAGGAGCTCAGGACCACTCAATCGTAGCTCCAACTCACTCAGTGGCCTGAACCGTGGGAGCTGCGACCTCTGTGGCTTTTTACAACGCTGCTTTAAAGGGCAAAAGAAAAAAATCTTGGAGGGAAAGTCGGGAAGGTCCTTAAGCATGTTTTCCGGATGGGGCAATTGCAAACGAGTTAAATCTGATTTGGGCCTTAGCTTCGAAGAGGGCTTTGTTCTACACCACGTCACCCTGGCTGGCCTGGGGCTCGCTTCCTAGGACAGGCTGGCCTCAAACTCCAGATCCCTGCCTCTATATTCCAGTCCCGGGACTAGAGGCGTTCTCCCGCAGGCCTGTTCCCCCGCAGACTAGAAATTCTCGGGGTCAGTTCCCATCATGGCTGCGCTCTCCAGATCCACAGATTTGGGGGCCTGGCCTCGAGTGAGAACAAAGAGGGCGGCGCCCCGTGACGCGTAGGCCCTCGGGCGGGCTCTTCAGCCCCGGAGCTGTTTACTCGGGGCCAAGGCCGCGGGCCGCTGGGCTATAAAGGGCGCGCGGCGGGACTCAGAGCGCCACAGGCTTCCGCTCGCCCAGCAGCGCGCCGCCCTTAGAGCCACGCGAGGCGGAGCTCGCCCCGGCGGCCAGGACGGCTCTCCCGGCAGCTTCCTGCGAGCCCAGGCCCCGGCTCGCTCCCGTCGGCCGCCGCGCCGCGCGCCACGTGAGCCGGAGCCCGCCCCCGAGCGGCGCGCGCACCCGGCGCAGGGCGTCGCGTGACTCGGGCGGGCGCGCGGGGTGTGCGCGGCGCGCGGGGTGAGCGGCGGGCCGCCCCGGGCCGCGCCACTTCCGACGCCGCGCTCGGCGTGAGGTTCCGGGGCGCGCCGCTGGGCCGCGGCGGCGGCGGCGGCGGCGGCGGCCTGGGCTTCGGGCGGGATGGAGGAGGCCGCGATCGGGGATGCCGAACTCAACTGGTCCCGCCTTAACGTGTCGGCCGAGGCCCTGGAGTCGGAGCTGGAGGCGCGCGCCGAGGAGCGGCGGGGCTCGCGGGAGGCGCTGCTGCGGCTGCTGCTGCCTTACACCCGGCTGACGTCGCTGCCGCGGTCGCTGGGCGGCGGCTTCCCGCACCTCCAGCTCCTGGACGTGAGCGGCAACGCGCTCACGGCGCTGGGGCCCGAGTTGCTGACGCTGAGCGGCCTGCGCACGCTGCTGGCCAGGAACAACCGGCTCGGCGGCCCGGGCTCGCTGCCCAAGGGCCTGGCCCGCTCGCCGCTCTGCCGCAGCCTCCAGGTTCTCAACCTCAGCGGCAACTGCTTCCAGGAGGTGCCCCCCTCGCTGCTGGAGCTGCGGGCGCTGCAGACCCTCAGCCTGGGCGGCAACCAGCTGCAGAGCATCCCCGCCGAGATCGAGAACTTGCAGAGGTGAGAGGCGGCGGGACAGGGTGGGGATGGGGTGGAGAGCAGGGCGGTGGCCCGAGCTCCGTGGCACTGAGTTGGAGGCGAGGACTGCCTGGCCATCGCCAGTGGGAGCATACAGATGAGGTTGAGTGGGTCATGGCGTTTGGATCGGGTTTGGCCTGCACAGATCTTCGAGGCAGTTTAGCCGCAGGCTTCCCCCACTCCCCCCAACGATGGACTCTAGAACTCGCTCTGTAGACCAGGCTGGCCGGGAACTCACGGAGATGCGCTAGTCTCCGCCTCCCAAGTTCTGGGATTAAAGGCGTGCGCCCCGAAATCCGGCTTTGCCTTATTTCTTGAGTCTAGAGAAGCAGCCAAATGGGCACCCATTAACGGAGGGCAAGCTTTCCATGACTTGCCATGCCCTTGCATCAAAGTGCGTGCCCTTTAACGTGGCGTAGGAGGTGCTCTGGCCTACTCCCTTGTTTTCCATTCTGTTTCCAGATTCCTCTTCTCTTTAGCGTAACTGGAAATACTGTTGTGGAGTTAGTGAGCATCTGCATTTCCCATCGTGTTGGAAAGGGAGCTTGACACTCGCTAAATGTGGATTGGATTGGGTGGATACAAAGCCTCTTTCGGGGAACTTATTCCCACTTCAAAATCGTATTTTAGGAGTTTCTTCCGTTATTCCTTTCTTTCTTTTCCTTTTCCTTTTCTTTCAGGTTATTGAGACAGTTTCACTGTGTAGCCCTCCCTGTCCTGGAACTCACTCTATAGACCAGGCTGGCCTCGAACTCGGAGAGTTCAGGCCCGTGCCTGAAATTAAAGGCATGCCCCACCACCGCCCATCTTGTGACTCCCTTCTTTACTGTTCCCCGGACAATTACAGCCAAACTACTTTGTCTCTGTCTCACTCATTAAACCATTGCGTTTATCTTATTGACTATAATTTCTTCCTTACAGGAGTTGTCTACCTCACCTAAGTAGCTTATTCAGTAATGTAGAATTTAATGGGACGAGGAGGTACAGGAAAAGGGGACTGAAAGTTCCCTAGGGTGCCCTGCAGGGAAGTTGGAAGTAAAACAGCAGCAATGAACTATCTTCCATTTGTTAAATATTTTCAGCTCCTTCACTGGATGAGCCAAGGTAAAAGAATGTGGAGCAGGAAAGAACCTTTGAATTAACAGGGAAAACATTGACCTGGGAATAAAAATCAACATCTCAGCCTTAGGCGGGCCACTCAACGTGTCCTATTTGCAAAATGAGGCATCTGGACACCGTGTCCCTTAATTTGCTCCTTGATAGATGTTTACAGAGTACTTAGTGTGTCCAATGTTTTCTTAGGTTCTGGGGAGACATGAGCATGCCCTGCCCGCATGGATCTAACAGATATATTAGCAAAGGGTAGTGACGCTAATGCATCATAGACTTCCTTATTAAATTACAGAGCTTAGAAGTCAGTCCTGGAGCAAGTGCCGTTTGAGTCAGGCTTTTGAAGGAAGGAGCCATGAAGGTCACTCCAGTAGAGAAGAGTGGCTGTGAAAGCCCCGGCACGAGGAGGAGGAGAACGGCCAAACTGCTGAAAGATGGGCATTGTACTAGACAGTGGAGGACAGAAACTGGGGCCACTCGGGCTGGACCACAGCTTGAAGACTGCTATAGAGCGTGGCTTCCTTTCCGAGTGCACACGTGTCTTGTTCCTGTGACGTGGGAGACAGGGAACTTTGAGGCTGCTTAAGAGGCTGCTGCAGTAAAATAGAAATGATGGTAGTCTACAATACGCTACGTGCTTGGGAAAGAGAGGATGTGGGACAGTTAAGGAGAGATTTTGTTAGTTTGACAGGCTTTGGTTCCCTTTAATTCTGATATGTAATTCAACCTTTTCAATTCCAGCATATTAAGAGGAGCCCAGGGAGAGTATTATCTCCACATTGAAAAGGAAGTAGGCAGAATACATGTATGGAAAGCATAAAACTATGCAGTGCCATGTACCCCATCTTAGGGCTCTAACATTCTCTAAGATGAGGTGAGGAACAAAGGCTCAGAGAAGAGAAATCTCAAGATCACAAACCCATTAAGTAGTAGAACTGGGTTTGACTTCTGAGGTCTTGTGCTCAGGGTGGACCAAACCCATGAATTTTCCACAGTGGGTGGATAGGGCTTGGACCTGAGTCCCTAGGCTTCTGTTGTGCTGGCTTGAGTGATCCAGAGAACCGCTTCAGGTCATTTACACCTGGTTGACCTGATTTTCCGGCCTGATACCTGCTACTGAAGGTTGTTAGTCTTTAATCTCTTGACTTGATAAATTGTGGGACTTTTTGCATCATGATTTTTGTTGTCAGTCCTGTGCTTTATTTCTCTACTGATAGGAATCAGCAAAGGTTAGATAATAAATTCTAGTTGGATGTAGGCCAGAAGGGTCATACAGAATTGTATTCCTAGATTTGGCCATGACCTAGTTCATTTCCTTCTTTTCACGGATGAGGAAGCTGAGATTTCATGTGAATGAGTTGCTTGGAGCCAAATCATGACCACAATGAGAGCTCAGGTGGTTCAGTTCTCAGACTGTTAACTATTTTGAAACTGGAAAAAGGGGAGGTTGGTGGTGTCACAGTCGCTTGGAGCCTATGTAGCTCCTAAACACTGTGTCCTTCCAGAGTCTGTGTAACTGCTCTTTGTTGTGAACCTGGCCTGCGCTGCACTGCTCTGCACCTCTCCACCCTTCTGGTGCTGAGGGTGGACCACGTGACCTTCCATCTCGGCAAGAGCCACTTCTTTTTTTTTTTTTAAATGTTTGTCTTTTTTTTTTAATATTTATTTACTTATTATATATACAATATTCTGACTGTGTGTATGTCTGCAGGCCAGAAGAGGGCACCAGACCTCATTCCAGATGGTTGTGAGCCACCATGTGGTTGCTGGGAATTGAACTCAGGACCTTTGGAAGAGCAGGCAATGCTCTCAACCACTGAGCCATCTCTCCAGCCCCCAAGAGCCACTTCTTGAGCCAATCTAATATTTTGGCATATGAAGAAGATTCTGTCCTTTTACAGAACAGTTAAGAGCAATTTTTAAAAGAGCATATGACCAACAGAATTTTCCCCTTCTCTACCTGTTACTGTTCCAGGAAGGGTAACAAATCTTGGTTTCGTGTGCATTGGCCTGTCCAGGTTTTCCTGTGTGTGTTAGATGTAGCTTCATTCTGCTTGTTGATTTTTCCCTTAGTGGCAAAAATCTGAATTAAAAAGAAATGCTAGGGCTGGGTGGTGGTGGCAGCGCACGCCTTTAATCCCAGCAGAGGCAGGCGGATCTCTGTGAGTTTGAGGCCAGCCTGGTCTGCAAGAGCAAGTTCAAGGACAGGCCTCAAAGCTACACAGAAACCCCTGTCTCAAAAAAAAAAATCTAAAAGATGACTTTCAGACAAATAACAAACAAATGGGTACTGGAAGTTTTGTTTATTTTTATGACTGGCTTCATTCCCCCCAGTAAATCAGGCCATCGTATAAATATACATTCTGTTCATTAAAATACAGGTTCTTCAGCAAATAAGTGTAAGTTTTCAGCTTTGTGTAGGCAGGCTTGTTTTTGTTTACAGTGCTGAAAGGTAGGAGTGGTTCACAGTTTCTTCTAATGAATTTAGGTTTTATTCCTCAGTTCAGAAACTAATTGAAGAAGGGCTTAAATTTATTTCTCACTGAGCAGCAAACTGAGTAAATGGGTTGTGTGACTCTGGATGCTATTTGGAGACTGAATCTGAGCCAAATGAGTTTCATGGGTCCTTTTCTCATCTTTTTAAAAAAAGCAGTGTCTTTTTTTAGTGACTGTCTATTGGTGTCTGTTTAGTGTGGTCTAGGAGGATTGTGACGAGACAAGAGATGGCAATCCCTGGAGTGTTTAAAGCTGTTGGAGCTATCCTAGGAATGACTAGCCCCAACAAGATAAGTAGAAAAATGTGCTAAAATTTAAATAAAACAGTGTGCCTGTTTAAAACCTTGCATTGAATTTGTGTTGATTTCCTTTAATTTCATACTATTTTGAGGGTAGTCACCCCCCATGCCACCGCCAACTGGCATGCTCTCGCGCACGTGCGCTTCCGCCCTCCCTCCCTCCTACTCTACCTCCCTCCCCACCCAACTTCAAGTTCTCTTTTTGTTTTTCTTTTAAACCCACCAAGGTCATGGTTCCTATTACCCTGCTACTCTTGGCCTGTTGTGGTGGTTGGTGGGTTGAGTTTGTGCAGGTCTTTTGCATGCTGTCACAATTGCTGTGAGTTAGTGTGTGCAACAGTCCTTGTGTCTAGAAAATACTGCTTCCTTGAAGTTATAGAAGAGGCCTTAAGTCCAATCAGAAAGTGGTTGGTTTGCTGCTGTAACGTCATTGCCACTTCTGCACCAGTGGCATCTCTGCCTGGCCAGTTCCTGTAGCCTGAAGGGTTCACAGCTGGCTGAGAATTGATGATTACTTTCCTCTGGTATTGAACATAACTCCTAGCTAACCAGGAGAGGTGAAGCTGCCAGGGCAGTACCAGTTGGATTTCTCCATGGTTTATGATTCACATATGTATGTCTTCAGCAATGTGTCTAACCATCAAGAGCTGGAGGATAGCCAAAAGCAGTGACAAGAGCCTGTGATATTTAGGGTCTCCAGGACCCCATTGACCACAACTCAGAAAAGAAGTCAACTATTCCTACTATGTTATAGTTGGGGTATTCTGCTGGCTAGTTTTATGTCAGCTTGATACAAGCTACAATCATTTGGGAAGAGGGAATCTCAGTTGAGAAAATGCCCCTGCCAGACTGGCCTGTGCTTCATTTTCTCAACTGATGACTGGTGTGGGAGGATCCAGCTCACTGGTGGTCCGGGGTGCTAGCTACTAAGAAAGCAGGCGGAACTGGGTTTTCTGCTGTTTCTACTAACTTGTAGCATTGTTTTAATAAATGTTATAATAGCTGCCTACTAAACAGAAAGAAAGAAGCCAGGTTGTATAGCACACACCTTTAATCCCCAGCACTCAGGAGGCAGAG